AATGTGTTAGATAGCCCTGCCAGTTGCCTTCTTCTTTGTGTGATTTTGGCTTCCATTAACTTTATCTTTGTTCACCTTCTGTTTAGGTTTCGGTCGATTTCTCATGTGATCCTCTCCTTTTTCATGTGGATTCAGTTCCTCGAACTTAATTGGTTTTATAATCAACCCTCGTTTCTTCACCACCTGCAGTAAACATCAGACATCAGAAACAACAAATTCATCCCACAATCACGGACAGCCTGAGTGGAAAAAGGATAGTCAATATCTAGCATGTGATGCTTTAGATTAAGGAACTCACTTCAGGTTGATTAAGAGCTCCAATAGCAGTTGCTGGGTTGAACTCTGGTCCAATTGGCATTCGTATGCTCTGCTCAAAAGCTTCTTTAGATGTAAATGGGTAAGGCAAAGTTTTTGTGTGTAGTTTCTCAGCCTGCAAATCCAGATACAGAAAAATCAGACTTCCTCTCAGAAGAAATATCAGGCTTCTATTATCTACAACTACAATATTGAATTTGTGTGATTTAAATAGAAAGAACAGCTTTTCAGATGGATTATACTCAAAAGGTTGCCCCACTGCTGTCGTGGTTTGGCTTGAGTAACTTGACTAGTAAGACAAGCTGGGTAAAGGAACTGGGGTGGAAACAAGGTCACTAAAGAGAGATGAGAAAAAAGATAAGGAGAAAGATATGACCATGTGGAACTGTTGTCCCAACTCTTTTAGTTGCGAAATTCAAAGAGACAAAAAGAGATAACGGAAGGAGAAGGATAAGGGTGTAAAGTAGAGAGAAAGGAGGAACGAAGAAACAGTAAAAAAAAGTTTGAATTTAATATAGCAGATGTAAGGAGGGAAAGATAGCAACAAAAAGAATTTAAGGGAAGCTTTGAGTGCAATTTTTACATAATTTTAAATTCAAAGCAGAAGAATTCTTTCAAAGAAAATACAGAAGATAAGCAAAGAGAAAAACTAATATTGGATGAAAGAAGGCAAAACAATAGGATTGAATCCCTACATGATGAATAAATATCACAACTCAATCCAATAATAAACTAATTGCAGCTGTTAAGATTATAATTGAAGCAATTTCAAGAAGACACATGACAATATCCTCTAAAACTTTTTTAAAAAAATAATCCTGAAGAAAATGACAGAATATTGACAGAATTGGGGAGAGATTTTAGCCTATCAAGTTTTTCCAATAGCATTTCCCCATGATCTCAAAATTTGGCAAAAAATTTACATTTTTCTTCAAAAGTTTGTGGCTTTTTTCAAATGAGTTTTTCATGTATCTATTGAGAAAAACAAATACTTATGTGTTCCTTCAGTAATTTTAACACAGGAATTGAGTTGCAAGTCTTTCAACTAATGGATCTAATTGCAATTAGTTCCAAAATCCAAGAACTTCTTTGTAATTTAACCTTTTTTATACAAACAGTACTATAAATAGAGGAAGAATAAGTACAAAAGCGATGACAAATCCTCCTATGCGAACAAACAAAAAGCACAAAAAAGAGAAAGAAACACAGCAAAATCAATGTGACACCTCATTCCAATCCCTACGTACAATAGCCAAAGAGATGTCCCTATAGTATCCATGAACCTTGGTAAAAGTGAAAGAACTCAATTTGTCCCAAAGAGGAAAGTAATGATCTTCGGAGAATCTAGCATTTTGCTCCAGCCACAACTCCCATAAACCAGAAAGGAAAGCTTCCACCAATGCACCTTAGTGAGAAATGTATAGAGGAAACACTGCAGAAGGAGGTGCAACCGACATGTTTCCAGAAGAAACCTTAGGCCAAAGTCTCCAAGTCATCTACAAAAAGAGATCGCAACAGACTCAGCCTCCTTGAAACACATGGCTCACGTCTGGAGAAAGAGCAGTGTTGGATCTGCGAACTTGCAACAAATCATTTTTGTTGAGCCTCTGCTGTACAGCAATTCAAACAAAATCCTAAACCCTAGAAAAATCCTTAACCCTAGAGGGAGCTTTAGACTTTCAAAAAGCACCAGTGAGAATCTAATTGTGATGGCTAGAGTTACGGGTACGGGTTAGCTAGGTAGACTTGCAAGTGCACAAGCTCGAAGAATCTAAAGTCAAAATTTGCTATCAGGTTGTGAAGAGACAGTAAAAGGCTAAAGAATGCTCAAACGCATATCATCAGCTCCATAATCATACAAATTTCCAAGCTAAAACAACTCCAAGACACATGTCCATCATGTTGATCAATAAAGTGATGGGTAGGTGTATTATCCCAGAAAGGAAAGGTTTAAAAAGTGTGGGAAATAGGTTAGACGTGGTACATCACTAATCTAAATATCTTTTCAAAACAAACTGCGGGAGCCATCACCTACTCCTAAATGGTAAAAGGAATGAAGAGATCATAGAGATGAGAGACAGACTTCTAAGGGCTCCTATGGGTTGGTAATTGTAGCTTTACAGTCCCAACCATTCCTTTGCAACCAACCCATATTTACTCTCAATTCCTTTGTGCTACAAAGAAAACAATTTGAAAGGAAACTGCCATCATCAGTGGAAAGTAGAAACTTGTTTTAAGACATTAGATTCCTGATACAAATACCATAACTTCTTTAGGCAAAAAGCGACATATGTCACCTAACCAAAAGGATCTATCCATACCTTACTCGTACCAGACCATAAAAGATTGATCTTATTCTCAAAGAATTTTTTTTTGAAATAATATTCTCAAAGAAAAAATGATTTTGATAAATTAGATTTTTGTACAAGACCAATCTTAATTTGTCTTTGTTAAAGTTTTAGTTTACACAATTGGATTTTGAATGATACATAATCTTCATTTCAAATTTTCTATCAAATTTGATGGTCCAATTAATTCAAAACCACAGTTCAAAGTTATGTTGTCTACACCACAAATTGCTTCAATTAGGAATTAAGCTCGTACTGAGACTGTCTTCAGAGACAATAGAATTATGATGTTGTCCACAACAAATTCCAGCAAGATTTTAATCAACCAGTGAAGCATGTGAAATTAATTTAGTAAAAAGGTTACTGACCTTCTTATCCATCTTCTCAGTTATAACAACATGTTTGAGATGTGCATCCTTCCTATTTTTGAGAGTTTGCTCTCTCTTCCTCCTTGCATCATCATGCTCCTTCAACATCCACGAAGGTAAACCTTTCTTTTGCTGTATATTGGTCCACTGGCCCCAACCAGGGAGTAGAACAGGCTTTTCAGGTTCAGGAACTTCCTCATTCAGAATCTCTTGCTTATCCTTCTCAAATTCTTCTTCCACATCATCTCCTGCAAAAGCATGGTGAATAAGCTCTGCTTGAGAAGGAAGCTCATAAGATGCTTCTTGGCTAGAAGACAACATCCCATCAACCATTTGTCCTTCACTGTCTGAATCATTTTCCTCTCCTGCTTCCTTCTTAGATTTCAAGCAGAGAAACATGAGAAAAATAAGTGGCAGATCCCATAGAAAATCTGGCAAAACAAACAATTGGAAAGAAATTATACCACTAAGTCTCTATTGGGCAGAGCAGGTTCCCCAACCTTCAGAGGGTCCTTGACATTAGTACCAACTTGGCTTCCATCTTTCATCTGCGCATGGCATACACAGGTTTCTATAAGGACATTCAATTCCTTCAAATGCATTAATTTCACATGAAGAGGAATGGTGAATATTACCTTCTTCCAAGTGCCTGATGCAAAAATGGCAACATCGTAAGTTGTCTTGACACCTGGATTCCCAACAATATCATCATAATTCTGTCAACATAATCACAAAATTTTATCAGCTTATAAAGAAAGATGTGGCACAAAACACAGTGAGTAAAACAAACTAGAAACTCAATTACCTCGAGTACAGAATCTTGATGGAAGTCGGTGCCTTCATTAGGTAAATCAGAAATATCACCTACACCCTTCTCAAAATTATTATTTTTGCCATTCCCGACATCACTATCTTCTCTAGCTTCCTGGTCATCTTCACTATCACTAGTACCATAGAACTTATCTGTTCTCATTTTATGATTTGGTTTTGCAACTTCTTTTCTGGTGGTACCAAATACCCTTCTCCCACTAACAGTGCCTACATTGGAATCTGCCATGTTATCTTTACCCTCCAACTCTTCATACTCCCGAAGAGCAAGCTTAGCTTCTTCAAGAGCTGCTTCATTTCTTTTCTTTGATCCCCGCACCTATGCAAAACCAATTGAGCAGAAAGATTAAAATAAACAAATATTCTAAAGGAATATAATTAATCCGATTAAAAAGTTTACAGACTTGGATGAGTATGAGTATTAAGTGAATACCATGAAAGGTAAAGAAAGCAACCCAGAATTGGGCACTTCATCATCCTCTTCTAATACTTTAAGTGTTTTTTCCTTTGCTTTTGCCAACAAGTTAGATGAAGCATTCTGGTCCAAAGAAGATGGATCTCCATCAACATCATCCTCATCGCTACTATCATCACTGCTGCTGCTGCCTTCCTTCATAGTGTTCATCTTTCTGGTCAAAGTAGCATGCAAATGGAGCTGCTCAGTTATTGCTGCTCGAGTTCCTTCATCCCGGGCATTCAAACCAAGTTTTAAAACATGCTTTGCCCACTTTGACTTATTTTTATGCCTTAGAGTCATACGTTCCTGCATCACATATAATAGAGAACCGAAGTAAGACTGGGTTCTCTTCAATTGTCATAGGGTACTACCTCCTATAAAAGCTGCATTTAATACATCACAGAAGCAAAATCACAAGTTACCTCAGCCCGTTTGAACTCCTGCTTCATTAACTGTTCTTTAGTTGCCTCTGGATCCATCAGCATTTCTACCGACTCTGCTTTCCTTCTATCTTTGTTCCTCAAGCGATGATATGTTTTAGACTTGATCTTCTTTATGCGTTTACTTTTCAGTTCATGGCGGAAAAGAAGGCTGCGCATTTTAGCTATATGATCTCGGTATTTTACATGATCTTCAACAGATACCTGCCAAGATAAATCAAACCAAGTAATTAAACCCAGATTTGTATAATTAGAGTCAAAATTTGGAGCAACTGGCATGATACTAGGAAGACAAATGCTTTAATAATACATACACTACAAAACGTAAGACTAGAGTTATAGTGGAAAGGCAGAAAATTTTCAATGCTTTAAAATATGCCAGAAACTTAAAAATCATACTCAAATTGCAAATGCTATACATAACATCTGGTGAAAACTGGAGGGACTGTGAACCAAGAAGACAAACCAAACTTTAAGAAACTAAACATCTACAAACCTCATTTAACTCAAGGAGTCTGGCACCATCTTCTTTGTGAGCTTCCATAACTTTCTGATCATAAACTAAAGAAGCCATTTTCTTCTCAAATTCAGTTCTAGCTTCAAATTCTGAAGCTATTGCCCCCACAGTTGAAAACCCCAGGTCAACATCTTCATCAAAAAAAATAGTCGGTGCCTCTCTATTCCTCTTGACTGAGGGCCCCCATTTATTAAGTTCCTTTGTCATTTGTTCTTTCACTGCCTTCCTCTCAAGCTTCTCTCGATCTGGCTTTGGAAGAGGAGCATGGATAGGCATAGAATTCTTCTCAAATTGCTCCATTCTCTTTCTAAGTTTGCTAAACCCAGTTTTTCCTTGAAGAGGCTCAAGAAGATCTTGAATTGTAATGCTGTTATGACCATCCAGAATGTCACGAGTAGGATTGTATTCAGACTCAGGATAAGGCTCTGACATAACAACATTGTTTCTCTTCATCTTCTTACCTGGCAACAATACCATATGGGTAAGCAGAAAATAAAAAAAGAGTTAAAAGATAACCTACCGTTCTTTCTTTTTCTTTCATTAAGGAGAAAATGAAAAAGGATTTCGTACAAAAGGCACCAAGGGAGTGCAACCATGTACAAGAATCTAAAGCACACAACACAATTACAGAAGATACTTGGGCAAAATATCATTAAGCTACCTTAAATCTTCCTCATAGAGAAGAGTATGCTCAGCCTTCCAAAAATAATCATAACAATTTCCAAAGATAGAGGATAAAATTCCCAAGTTCAGCATAGTTCCATTGGAAGAATGGCAACAAAATTTTCCAGAATCAACAATTGCACATCTAAGCATGAGAATTTAGAAAATGCCTGCCAAGTTAAAGCACAGTATTCAAATTTGTGATTTTAATAACTGCTAACGAGGACTATATCGATATTTTACACATACAAATCACCAAGGAATGAATAAGGTTAGACGAGAACAAGATCCAATATGCTTATTGAAAAACTAAATTTGTACATTGAAACAAATCTCAGTCAATTATTACCTCCAAAAACCTCACTTGGCATTCCAGTGATTCCTTCCAACATTCTCATATGCTTTTCGTCATCTTCCTCTTCAGCACCTCTAGACTTGTTGTCTCCTTCCTCGTGACCACCAAAGAATTCATCATTATCGTCATCTGATAACACGTTTTCATCCTACAAAAACAAAACATACACACGCATACCACAAATTCTTAACGAATGAACAAATATGTATTTACCCATGTAGTGACAGCAGCAAGAGAAACACTTAAACTATCGCTAAAACTAGGAATGCGTGGCAAACCTTGAATTTCGCAGGCAACTCGTACTCATAGTTCTCTACAGGGTCAAATCTATGGTTCTTCAGAGTCTCCTCCTCCGGCAGTTTCTCCTCGTACTCATACACATAGTTACCTTCATCCGAATCGATTTCTTCATCTTCGCTGTTCAGTGGACTGTTTGGGTTAAATTCGGCACGATCAAGCTCCTTCCGCAACGAATTAGGTAGCCGGGGACCAGTTTTCTTTTTGGTCCTATCGCGGCCACTCTTCACATTCGATTTCTTCTTTGTTCTCATAGTTTTAGGTTCATCTCTTGTTTTCCTCTTCTTCTCTACCATAGCTGCGAAAGAGAGAGAGATAGCAACAGCGACAGAGACGGCCTGTGATAAATAAGCAGCAAACTAGCTTGCGAAGCTTCCAAGATTAGAAAGAGCTGAAATCTAAATTAATGGAGAGCTGATTCTTAGCCTGAATTTCAGACGAGTGCTCCTCTGTGTACCCCGATTCTCTCCGCTCTCATTAAACCCCGGTCTTCTTTGTTCTACCGAAACCCTACTCTCATTGGGATACACATGTAAACCATCGGTGACATGGATGATACCCTTTTTATTTTTTCTTTTTTCTAATTATTTTTTATTTACATTACAATTAATAATAAGTTTTTTATTTACAGTCTTTTATCAAATTATTTTAAACATTACTTAATTATATTAATTCAATAAATTAAAATTTAATAATTTAATTTCTCAAAACCAGAGTTTTTAGTAATTCTATTAAAATATAGTAATAAATTAGAATTATATTATTAATAATATTAATATATTTAAATTCGATTTATTAAAATATTTAAATTCGATTATACAATTCTATTAATTACTCAAAATATAATAATTAATAATTATATTAATGAATATATTTAAATTACTTTTTCTTAATAATATGTTCTTAGTCAACCTCTTCCCTTCCAGAATAAAAACAAAGTAATTTGCTTGACCAATTTTTCTTATCATATTCATGGAACTTTCACAGGACTGATATCAGTCAGAGTCGTCCTTCTCGTAAATTTGATGAGAAGCTAGAGAGAGATCAAGAGAAAGAAAATGAAGCAGCATCAGAAGCTAACATTCGTGCTGTGTATAGTATGGGCGATCACTCTTCTCTACGGCGAGATGTTTACTTTTTGGTTGCCTCTCCGGCTGTGTACCTGGCCTCATCATCATATCCAGGTGCGTTTAATCCTTCGATGTCCATTTCTTTCTCGTATAATCAAAATTTTATTCTCGTCGGGATTTTGTCATATGTACATTAACGGGGATCAGACACGAAACCAAGGATTTTGCTTCGCATTTGATCAATTTCTTGTCCCGTTGGGGAACTACTGTTTGAGACCACCTATTGTCAAGCCCTAGGTTTATAGATTTCTGCTTCGTTATCGCTGCTTCGTTTTCAATTTGGTCATCCCTTACCAAAGGTTCAGGCTGTAGAAGATTTTGACCTGAATGTGGCTGGGATCAGCTGAAAACGGAAACGAATTCACATAAGGGGCTTAGAATGACCAATGACTTTTAGCTTATCAAGATTTTAGACTAGTCCAATTTGTCATCTTATATTTCCATTTTCTTGATGCACTCAATATGATGTTCTACTAATATTATCCTGAAACTTAGCATGTCTAATTTATGGTTCACCTTGTGCGCATAAATTAGAAAGTTTCTCATCAGCCTACCTGGCGTATATTTTCCTTTAGAGAGAAGAGGCAGGAAGGAAAGCATGAGACTTACTATTGCTCTGGAATTTAAATATATCAAAACGTTGCAAACTGCTTATACCTTTTGGGGATTCTTGTTGGGTGCCAGTTTTAAGTATTCAGTGAAAAATGAGATATTTCAACTTCATGATAGAGTATATTCTATGCCATCACTCAGGAGTTTTATGTTGAAGTTATAGTGGGTCTACGTAGTCATACTATTATTCCTTATTGTATTTATAGTTTATTTCATTTGCCCATGTCTTCACAAACAAGTTCACATCAATAGTCCCATTATTTAGGGGAACCTAATAAGAACAATTGCTATTGAACGCAAAGCCACCATGGTCTAAATTACAGCTTTGCTTGTTATCCAATCTCTCGGCAACCACAGATTTTCAAAGATGTGGGAATATAAACAGAAAAGTATATGCACACATTTGGCAATCCCTATGAAAGCATGCTAGCTTTTTGATGTACTGACATTTAATAGATTTGCAATTCAGATGGATGGACTAAGAGATCCTAGCAACTATACAAAAATTGCTGTTATTGCCGATCCACAGGTTTGCTCTTCTTTCTGTGCATTTCTATTCAATTGAAACTATGTTCTGATACGGATCAACCTTTAACAGCTTATGGATAAAACTTCCCATCATCTGGCTCCAAAATCAGTTGCTTTGGAGATTGCACAGTTCTACACTGATATATACATGCGCAGAGCATTCTTTTCATCAATCATGCCTTTCAAACCAGATATAATTTTGTTTTTGGGCGATTATTTTGATGGAGGACCTTATTTATCAGATGAAGAGTAAGGGCTAGAACCTAATTATTCATTTCTAAGTTAAATACTTAGCAGCACATTATTTTGGATCAATAAACCAAAAAATGGCAAACATTTCCTACTGTTAGAAATTTTTTTAATTGCAAAATGCCCATGATGTTCTTTGTTTTGTCAGATGGCAGGAATCTTTGAGCCGCTTTAAACATATATTTGGTCTGAGTAGGCAAGGACAAATTAGTGATGTACCAGTTTACTATATTCCTGGAAACCATGATACTGGCTATTCAGCAATTTACTCTGATAGGCCAGAGGTACACTGATATCTTATCTATAATACTGCCTTGATTTTAGGACTACGAATCTTGGAAGTCCAGAGTGTTGGTATGATGATGTTTCAGTAATAATTCAAATTTGTAAGCAAAAATAACAACAATAATAAAAATGAAAGGAGACGGCCATGTCGGAAAAATGTTAAGAGGTACAGAATGAACATTCTAGGGGGACATGTTTGCTATGTCATAATTACGGAGAGTTAAATTGTGATTGCACTTTGAGTGAATAAAGCATAATACTAGTTCTCCAATAACTCTACATACTTTTCTATCACAAGGAAGGTGCAAATTGTTATGTACTAAGGTTTATAACATTTATGTGAAGAATAATGATAGTGTTTAGAATGGTCTGTTTTTTTGGTGGATATAGGTTTTTATGACTACTCTGATCTTAAACTGTTTCTATTTCTCAATTTTAACAGATTTGCTGTCATTTTTGTGTCTACATTTCTCATTCCCAATCTCTTGTCATATGGTTGATAAATATGAATATGCTTTTCAAAGACTGTAATTTTTTAGTATTGGTTTTGTTTGCTTCTTAAGCTACTTGGATGTTTATGCAGGTCATCAAACGCTATGAACAAGAATTCGGGATTAGAAATTTTCGATTTACAGCTGGAAATTTTGAGTTTATTGCTATTGATGCGCAAGTTTTAGACGGTAAATAAGAGAGCTGTTTATCTGTCTACTTGCTTTTTAATCTCATGAATGTGATAGTGTAACATTAGCAGCAAAACTGGGTAGATATTTTTTTAACGAACTGATAGCGTGGATGTAGCCTGTAATATTGGCAAGCCTACCGGTGTTTGCTTTGTGCTATAGAGTAATCTAACTTGATATTTTTATCCTCAACATAGAACTGGGATGGTCAATCTCCTACACTGCCTCATGGCCCCTGAAAATAAAATGGAATCCAAACCTCTGTTTAACTTTTTCATTTAACCTGTGCCAGTGTGTTGATTCAAGAACCAGAAGTAAGTTTATCTTTGTACCTTCCTGCTCTTCTTAATTATATATCTTCCTCTTTTAGCCAAAAAATTATAAAAAAAAGAACCAGAAGTAAGCTCTCCATTCCAGCTGCATTATTCTGTCTCGTGTCATGAAAGGTCAAGCCAGCACACTAGGCAGTTTGATGCAGAGAGCTTTGCTTGGAGAAATAGAAGGGATATGCACTGCACTTGCAAATGTACATAACACCGTGATGAATTTGAAAAAGATCATATTAGAAGCAATCTGCTGCGCATGTTATTTTCTTTGTTTATTGGTAAATACTGCATGCTCTATTGACAAGAAAGGTGGTTAAATCATGTACAGGACACCCCCAAAGGAAATCTGACTTCTGCAGCTTGGGATTTTGTCAAAAATTTATCCACAGGTATATGACTTGACTTGTGCTTCCCGGTTGCTAAGATTATTTATAGGAATAATCTCATGTTTCTGTAGATGTCCAATCATATCATAGGGTTTTATTAACCCATATTCCATTATACCGTCCGGATCAGACTTACTGCGGCCCTCAGCGTGGTTCCGCAATTATTAATCAGGTATTCCTTTGTCATAACCATACCTAGGTTAAAGTCTAAGCCAAATATGCTTTTTGATTGTCACCATAGTCCAAAGCTTTGTATTTGAGAACTTCATCTGTCGGTATGTTCTTTTACATGTGTTTGCCTTTTCATGTTCAGCGGATCCGGCATACTCTGGATGGAAAAGAAATATTGTAAGGATTGTACTTCAGTGTTTTGTGCAATTTTTTCCATTAAAGTCAGCTACTTGAGTTGAGAATTTGGTGTGACTGTTGACCCAAAAATGCAGGTACCAGAATTACATCACTGATGAATCATCAAAAAAACTGCTGGACTTGATAAGGCCTGTGAGTTTATTTTTAAATTGATCTTGTTTATATCCATGCTTCCCTGATGCCAAATTGGTTAGTTGAGCATTTATATTTTGTAATCTCATTCAAAGTCTCAAACAATAGAGTATTCTATGATGTGTCAGACTCTGCAAGGTACTCGTCAGAAAGTGCAAAAGTTCAAGCAATTTCCTGCAAGTTCATCAATAAAATATTGTAAGACAAAGACACATGTTTAAGTTAATTTACAATAATAATTTGCCTTTGCAGGATTTAGTTTTATCTGGTCATGATCATGATCAGTGTACATTGAGCCATGAAACACATGCTGGAACCATAAAAGAGGCAAGCACCAAGACTTTTGGCATATTTAAGTTTCAAATTTTCTAGGTGATTTGATTGATTGTGATGGTGCAGCACACTTTAGGGACTGTGAGTTGGCAGCAGGGAAACTTGTATCCATCTTTCATGCTCTTATCTGTTAGTAATGTGGCTCTTCCAAACGCATCCCATCCAGAAAAATCAGTGCTCACGCAAGTGTGCTTTCTTCCAATGCAAACACATATTTATATATGGTAAATCTTTTGTGGTTGTTTTAGTTCAGTTTTTCTATATGTTGTTGTTCTGAACTCAAATATGCTTTAAAATGTCAGGTATCTTTTTCTATTTGTTCTCACCCTGCTTGCTCTCCTCTTTTGGCCAAAGACTGGGCTCAGTTTTCTGCTGCATCCCATTAGTGATTTAATTAAGTGTGGTAGAATGGTAATAAATTCCAATATTTTCGGAGGTGGAACAAAAGAGAAAAATAAAGATGAGAATTGTGAGTATGAGATGGTCTGGGATGCTGAAGGATCCATGCATCTCATTAAGAAAATAGTGGAGAACAAGAGTCAACGTCCCAGTGATAGAAGCTTTGCAGAAAGGTGCTTCTGCTTAACATATTCATTACTATTAATACTAGTAAAGCGAAACATATTGTATACTATTAGTTTGGTTCTTGTTGCACATTTTGGTTATTGATATGGTATCTCTTACTTTATCTTGTTTGGTGGTCATAATTTAAATAATTGTTTCTTTTTCCCCTTTTCTGTCTCATTTTTGTTTGACTTTACCCTTTGTGGCAGAGGTAATGCTGTAATGAGAGCAACGGCCAGAAAGAATGTGAACGAGGAGGTGGAGGTCTGTGTAGGTAGAGAAACAAATGCAGATGCTGTATCTGATCCGATGGTAAAATTACTGCTCAGAACAAGCAAATCAAAGACAAAGCTCGTATTCCACAGATTAATACATGTACTTAAGATGCTTACAGTCATTTCTGTCCTGAATGTTTCTCTCTACATGATGCTGCTGTTTAAGGATTGGATTGATCAATGATATCTGCATTGTGTATCTTAATTCTCTAATTCAAGTGGTTACAGCACAGAAGAATATTGAATCCCCAAAGTAGTTCCCATTTGAGGTTCAAGTGGGTAAATGTACTTACTGCTGAGCATCTTATTGATTTTTCTATATTTCTTAGCAGCAGTAACTTGTCTCCCAGCCAATAAACAGATCTTCAAGATTGTTGCAGATTAAGAATAATATGAGAGATCAACCTAATTGCATTTAGTTTCCATGCATATCTCTGAAGGCATGGTGTGAGTTGTCTTGAACAAGAAAGTCTAACATGTCCAAATTTCAGTTTGTTATGAAGAAGATTCATGGTTGCTATGCTTTGGCATTTCATTTACCTTGTCTCAGCCAATGTGTTCCATGAATGCTGTTGCTGTGCTTGCGCTGAAGTCAGAACAAGCCAGAACCCAAGTTCCGGACTAATAGAATTCACTGATAGACATTGCATGATCAGTAAGTAGATCATCGCAATCACTCGTGATATGTTGTTGTAATCTTTATTGGAGATTTTAAACCTCTGAGATAATAATGTATAGCTTCATTCAGTTGACCAACTTTCAGTGCCTGGCCTGTTCTTTAAGAGAACTCATAGTCTAATTTTGCACAGATATTATAGACACTCATAATGGAGAGATAGCAAGCTGCCTTTCGTAAAAGTTAGTGAGAGGTAGGAATGTGATTTGAATTGGCGATATAATTAAGACTCACAAACCTATATGGGTTGTATTAATTTTGATGGGAGAAAAAGTTTTTGTGTAAATTTTGGAGAGAACTTACAAGAATTTGCCTGATACAGCTTGCCGAGACTATATACCCACCTAGGCATTGCCAACTTAATTTCATGTTCGATGAGATAATGTTGTACAAAATTTAATAGAAATCAGTAATTTGTTTTAGAGAATAAAGTGTTATGTTGAGTTTTTAATCTGATATATTTATTTTAATTAATGAAATTTAATTATCATATAATATTTTTTTTATTATCTAAAAACGTAATAAATTTGTTGAGATTGAATTCAACTTAATCGTATGTATTAATGAATTAATTTATTAAATTAAATATTTTATAAAAATTAATTTTAAAAAATTGATAGAAATAATGTTGCAGAAAGTTTAATAGATAATGTCCTTGTAAAAAAAAATAAAAGATTAGGTTAGATCTTTATCTCCTAATATTTTTTTTTTTCGTTTAAAGATATAATAAATTTGCAGAGATTAAATTTAAATTAATTATTGTAATTACATTAATATACTAATGAATTAAATTATTAATTTCACGAAATTGAATGTTATAGGCACTGAATCTCTCAATGTTATATACTTAGTTGTTCAAAAAACACAGGCAACCATACATGGAACATGTTTTGCTCAATCACGACAAGGACACCCCTAAATGTGTTGTTATTATCTTCATTAAATTTCATCAAATATTTGTTTGTCATCTTGATTTACAACTAGTATCTACGTGCGTATATTTATGAATTGTATATATGATTAACCAGCTAAAATGTTTGTTTATATTTCCTGTATTTACACGTTTTACAACTATGCCTGCACATGAAGAATTTACATATATGTATGGGTGGATATACATATATATATATATATATATATATGCGTAATTAACTAATCAGTATTAGATTGATATATACAGCCATTAAATATATATATATATATATATTATATACATATATGGCACCAAGAGCTCCTTGACATTTACTTGGTGTCAACCCAAGCACTTTAAAAACTAAATTCAAGATCATAGGCATCTTTTTTTATTATTAATAAGTGGCTGTAAATTTTATTATACAAGTCGGTGATTATAAATCATTTATTGAATTTTATTCGAACCAGAACATCTTCCAGGGCTATCAATCACGTCTTCTTCTCCATCGTGTTAACCCTAGAAATCAAAAGAGAGTACAAGGAGGAAAAAAAAAAGAAAAAAAATTGGAAAAAGAAAGAAGAGTATACAAGTGATAACCTTGATATAATCAACAGGCAAACAACCTTTTAATTGGTATTAAACCAATTAAAAAGAATCCCTCCATTATATAATATTCTGTACGTATTTGGGTTTCTATATATATATATATATATATATATATAACCCATATATATGTTTATTAGCTCTTGATATTGATGTTGATCTGGTTAGTGAAAAAGCAGAGTGCAGCTGCAAAAGAAACCTGTCTTCAGTGCCTTCCAAAAACCCAATGGATTCCTCTCATCAGGTGAAAAAATGGAAAGAAACGGAATTGCACTTCGACCAGCGAAAATTTGTTGCAGTAGACTAAACTGCACCAAAGCCTATGAACCCTAACCAGACCCATCAAAGGTATTGTAGAAAACAATTAATGGAGGGTCGTCAAGGAATAGCTTAATGAAGTTTAAGGTAGATATATATAAGATATATATATATATATATATACGTAAATAACAGTAAGGCTACTCGTCGCCATGAATATACCAGCAGAGGAGCATGGTGGCGCAGCGGCGCAAGATATAGAGACGAGCACGTTGCTCGTTAACCAAGGAAGCACACTTATTGGTGAAGGCATGACCCTTTCTCTTTCCAGACACCAGAACCTCAGCCATGGCGGCTCTTCTATCTATCTACCTATCTCTATATATATATATATATATGTATATAGATTGAAGAGGTAGGTGATAAAACTTTTGATAAAGAAAAAAAAAAAGAGAAAAGGGCTCAGTAGAGAGCTGTAGGTTGAGGCAGAGACGGGGGTTAAAGGAGGGAGAGTATTTATATATGTAAATATAGAGATAAGTATAATAATGAATATAAAATGGAGATGGAAGACAAATCTTTACAGAGGCCGAGAAAGAAACTGAAGTTGACTTGGGTATGAAGGAAAGGAAAGGGGGCAATAGAGAGTAAACAATGAACGTGGTCAGGTCTCGGCAACTGAGGGATTTGCATGGAAATTAAGGTAAGATTATACAGCATTCCATGGAAGAAGGACTCAACGTGGGCTCTTAGTTTAATATTTTTCTTGGTTATAACATCCAGAACCAAAACCACTGTTAGAAAAACAAGGTGTGTGATGTGTGCACGATTTTGTAAATTCTAAAAAAAAAAAAAAAGAACATTTTCCTTTTATGATATTTAGAGGTAAGAATTATTCTGTTTACACCGAAAAATTAGACTGTACCGATAAATTCGATCTAAACTAGACTGGATCAGATAATGCTCTATTTGATCTATAATTCAAAATTTTTTTACTCGAATATAATACGGATTCAGTCTAATCCAAACATGATTGTTTAATTTTAAATATTAAAAATTAAATATATAAATATAAAAAGTTAAAAACTTAATCTTTTCTTTATGAATTTATTAATTTATTATTAGTATGTATAAGGATTTTGTTAGTATAGTGTTAGTATTATGGACTCCATTAGTTTATTTTTAGTTTTTTCAAATTTAATTTAATAATATAAGATTAGAAGAATTGTTAGTATTAACTTTTAGTTCGGTATTCCATTCTAGAAATTTTTTTTTAGCTTCAATCTGCTCCGTCTGATTTGATTTTCGACCAATTCTCACCCCTAATAAATTGAGTGATTTTTTTATTTACTTATACTTGTGAATTTTGAAAAAGAAAAAATCAACTATGTTTGCTCTAATGATAATCAGTTTCAATTTTTATTTAGTACAAATTATATATTACGTTTTTTTTACGTAATCTTTTTAAATTAAACCATATGCATACTTTAAAGATTGGTGTTTAATATATGGGTAAATTGATTTCACAAATATCTTATTTTATGAAAAAAATAATAATTTAGAAAGGTTGGAGGAGAAAAAAAAATGGAGAATTGATGGGTAATAAAATAATAGAGAAGTGGGAAAATTTGGGCATGAGATGAGGAAAAATGTCTTCAAGTAGAGAAGGCAAGAAATAGAATTAGGGTTTATGGGAAGAAGGTCCCGGCAAACTGGCTTCAATTTTTAGGTGGGAAGTTGGTTTGGTTAGATTTACTTCACATTCAGATTTGTCTTCCTTTTCCATCCCATCGATCTACATTCACATCACTTTTCTTCCTCTTTTTTTATTCAAGTATCATAGACCCATAAAATGGTACATCTCACATAAATATATGTATACATCTATATGACTGTATCATAGACCTATAAATGATGATTATATATGTATATACACATATTCATATAACAACTTATACTTCTAATTCAACAAAGATTTTTAAAAAAATATTTTTAAAAGTAGAAAATCTTAACATCCAAACTAATAAGAAAACCACCTTACAGCCATATCTATATAATATGATACAACCTTTACCCACTATCTATTAGGTGAATAGTTAGAAAGTTTTAATTTTCTCTACAACAATGTATGTTCTAATTAAACTGTGTTTGTATATACGTTTTTATTAACAAGTTGATTGTAATATTATCTTATAAGATAAACAAGTTGATTGTAATATTATCTTATAAGATGATTGATTGTATTATTTTTCTCTGTATAGAATCGTTTGTATAACAACTCGTATATAAATATAAGATTAATTATTAAAAATTTCGAGTAAAGAAGCAACTCTTCAAACGGTAAAGAAGCAACACAGGCACACGTATGCTTCAATTTCTTCAGTGGAGCTGTACAACACTCCTGATAATTATAGTTGAATTAATCAAACTCTTAATTAAATACAATCAATTGAAGTCTGATAATCGACGCTACTATCAATGACATGTAACTAAAATACTTCTTTTGTAAACGATATATATATTTATCAATTAAATAATACTTAAATATCAAGAACTATATTAAATAAATAACTTCTAAAACACATACGAAATCACAGTCTAATTCAAACTTTACACGGAATTACAGTCTGACTCAAATCTTACCAACTATTAAATTAAGTAAATTGTTAGTATTAAGCAACTTTCTTGAGATACGAATTAATCAACATAAAAAAATAAATTATGAAATTTTATGGGTGTTTCTTGTCTTGTTCTAAAGTAGAAGATAGATTGTACGTATTACTTCTTACTTCTTCCACACACTATATACCCTTCACTTTTTACTTCTTCAAGTACCAAAAATATAAATACATGCCATACAAATTCTTTCTAACACCAACCAAACCATCCCTTCATATTCATTCTCTCTACTGCATACATATACACGTACATGAATCCTCCCTCTGATTTACAGTTCTGATACTCTATTTGATATGGAAAATCTTCATTAACAGATCTCCAGAGATTTAAGTATCACTTTATTAATAAACAAAACTTTGGTCAACCAACACAAACCTTATCTCCAATCATCTTAAGATACATTAGTTTTGTCCAGATGTCTTTACTTGGTTGTGTATTTTGTAAGAAAATATTGATTCATCTCTCAAGAATGAAGGTAATAAAAAATATCTAACTCATATTATAATTGAAAAAAAAAAAATCCATTCTCTTTATCTATATATGATAAAAAATTCTATGAATCAATCCAAACACTGAACTAGAACATGATAAAAGATTCATATGGCTCCATCAAAGTGATTCATATTTGCAAGAAAAAAGATACGTGAAGTTGTATAGATTTAAAAACCAGAGCTTGCTTTTAAGGACAGCTTGGTGAGCTTTCGAGGATGTTGAGTACTGGGTCTCCTTCCTCAAACAAGCCTTTCATTAAATGGCTTGATGGGGCTGTAAATTCCGTGTAGGTTTGGTGTTAATCTAAAGGAAATAGGCTTAATTAGTTTGCAAGTTATGCACTTCATCCAAGTTCAGTGTATGGCATATATGAGTACATTGAAAGCAGTTGTGTTCCATAACACGAAGTAAAGTACTAGGGTACGTACATATAGTACTATGTATAATTTCAAATCTACGGTACAGCCAAACTATATATGCTTACATCAACCATTAACTGACCAGATGGTAGTTAATTCCACCCCTTTCAATAGGAAGTAGATTCAAATTCTGAGTTGTACACATCTCGTATGTCTCATTTAAGAGATTATGTTATGTATATCTTCATTTCGAGGTTGTGTTATCATTACTTAATTAATAAAATATATGAATTTATACTCAAATATACCTATATATGTGTTTAGATAAAGCCTATAATTAACAGTAAAAGCATGCACCTCCCTAGTTTACAAGTCTTGATAGCAGCACTACTCCAACCATAAACTACCTGAACTAGTTGCGTTGCCTGGTATTCAACTTTGTCCATCTTAAAAAACAACAAATATCAGCTTTCAAATCTCAAGTATGGTGTAGAAGAAGGCAGGAAAAAGATAAAAGTTGTTTACTCAAAAATCTTTCCCGTATTTTGAATAATTTGGAAGTAAAACCAATCTCTTAACCCCCTTATTCAAATTTTTATCTTAGTTCTTTTTTCCGTTAGTTTCTTCTTGTTTTTCTGGTGTGTTTGCCAGAAATCTGAGTTCACGGACTGGTTATTGGTAATAGAATAGAGTAAAACAAATAAAATGTAAGAAAATTATTATCGTAGCGAATAGAAAATAGACAGTCAGCCAAACAACTGAAATTCTACTATGTCTACAAGGGATGGTGCCTCCACATGGTATATGAGACTGGAATTATTAATTAACTGTATTACATTTCAGATTGAATTGTTATCAGTAGCAGGTATAAATATGTAGGAAAAGAAATCTTGAGGAACTTTGTCCCCGCATTCTCAAGACCCTAATCACTACGTGAAAAATATCTTATGTAATAATATTCAATCTTGTGAATCAAAACATGTTATGAAGAATGTTTGAAGTGAGCATTTGGACTAAAAGCCCAACTAAAACTGCTACATTCTCTGTCTATTTCGTATTTGCTTGCTAATTTACTTTTCATGAAAACTTTTTTTGTTTCAATCCCTTAAAAGGGCAAATAACAAACTATC